TTACCTCCTCTGTGAGAGTGAGGTAGTTTTTAATCTGTTTTTCAGAGATGGGCTTGAAAGGCTGAAGTAGTATGAATTTGCAGAGCCAACATATGTCATCCAAGTACACCCAATGGCCAGGCTATCCCTAGAACAATTTTTGTCAGATGCAATCAGTGGCCGAAAAACAGGTAACCAAATCAACAAACAAAACAGTTGATATGGCAGAAAGGCCAACCAACTTCTTATTTTTGTTATTGCTTTAAAATTTGATTTTTTTTTATACCAGGCGAAGAGTGTCTTTACTCCTTGAAAAGCTGAGCATGTTTTCTTGAATTGTTTCATCTTTTAAATGTAGACTGCTATTCTATTTATTTCACGCCAAATATTTTAAGATGCTGAAGTTTTTCTTATGTTAGTGAAAAATTTGAAGACCCTTTCAGTCGGACGCAAGAAACAAATCATAATTTCAGCATTCTCATTTGCTAGGAAAGACCAGTGTATAATACTTACCTTTTTTAAAAAAACACATGCCTTCATCAACTTTGCAAAAGAAATATTTTCTTTTTTACAAGTCATTTACCTTTGTCACTCAATGCAAACATACTCATGTTAACTTCTTGCTTTGCTGCACTAGGTTTCCAAAGGAAAAAGAAATTATTTATGTGAAAGACGGCTTCATTTGTGTCATGAAGTCTACTGATGGATTGAAAACTATTTGAATACAGATACAACGTCTTGGGGGTTTTGCATTCTTTACAATGTGTAACAGTATTTTATATATAGTAGAATTTTAAGTTTTTAATTAAAAAAATCTAATACTATTCTAAAACAGTAATGATAGCTAATAAATATTAAGTACACAGCTAATACATACTACATATATGGGTGCCAGCACTGTTATAAACACCTTACAATTCAATGTATTCAGTAACCTTATGATGGTGCTACTTTTTACCCCTTTTTTGGACAGAGAAGCCAAGAAAAGCTAAGTACCTTGTTCAAGGTCACTTGTACCAAGTGTTGTGTTGAGTCAGAATCTGAACCCTGGCAGACTGTCTCCAAGCTACTATTATTTTCAATACTAAATGACTTATCCTTTATTGTGTTAACAGAAAATTAAAATGATCCATATTTAGCTGAAGAATAGATTCCTTCTGAAGTTAATGTTGAAAGCCCATTCCAGAACATTGTCCTGGCCTTTTCACCGTTAAAAGGCTCTTTGGTGCTTATTTGAAACAGATGCTAACACTTAAAACATCCATTCACATTGTGTTTTCCTGTGATTTGCTGGAATATGTCAGGTTGCCTCCAGGAGACCCATTTCTAAGTGACTGTCGGATTTCATCCATCTTGCTACTTCTCTACAAACCTACAACTTCATGGGTCTGTTAAAGCATGATTGGTCAGAGGCTTATTAGTATCTCTTGCCAACATTCTGTCTCTGATGTATAAAGCTTTAGGGCAGCTATGAGAAGAAACTGGGTGGATTTTTCAAAGAACAGTTTCCTTAACCAAGCTGTTGGCAAGATACAATGACAGACTAATGGTAGTGCAAAGCTTATTCTCACTACTTTTAACTCTAGGAATTATTAATTGGGGGTTACTTAAAAGCCAATCACAGCAGCTACACCTCAGTCAGTTATAGACATCCTACTTTGTAAACTATGTTACCAAAGACAAACTTTAAGATGTAGTCAATCCCGTTATTTCTTCACCTCATTCCCTCACTTCTGTTTTTGTATGTCACTTTTCTGTTCCTGCGTACGTCACTCTCCCTTTCTGGAACTTACATTTCACTTGAACGTGCAGCTACCCAGAGTCCCTTGGAAGGCATTCTGAAATCCCTGATTCAAAAATTTTAAAAACAAGAAGAAGAAGAAGAAGAAGAAAGAAAAAAAGCCTTTGCCTCTCAGATGTGTTGCTTCTTTTACATTGTTTTTCTTCAGTATACTTAAGATTAGGTTGAGCTCTTTTCACAAATTTTGTGTTTTTACTCTATTTTTATCACTTCTTCAATTTGTTTAATCATTTAGCAGTTATATTTTATAATTTTGCATGCAAAGTGACAGAATCATGTCACTGTGAGCCCTAGTATGGGTTAGTTCTGTATTTATTTTGTCCCTTAGGATAGATTAATGACAATTTTTTTAAAGAATTATTATTATTTTATTTGCTATAGGGCACATGTACTAACCAGAGAAGAACTGGAGAGGTGATAAGAAAGCAAGCCTCCGGGTCCAGGACTCAGACCCCAGTCAGCTATGTGGGAGTCTGGTACCTTAACCACCATGCCACCTGCTGGCTTCAACAGTATCTTTTTTATATGTTTTATTTCTCTTTATTATAACAAGAATGATTTAGTATCAGTGTTTTGGCTAATCAAAGATCCTGGTTTGGACTAACTATAGCGGTGCACACTGGTAGATCCTGCTGGTGAGCCACACGGGAGATCCAAGTTTGATTCTCAACACACCCTAAAAGGTGAATGCAGTGGTATGCACCCGTAATCTTACTTGGGAAGCTGAGGCAGGAGAACCACAATGTGGCAAAGCCCTATCAAAAACATTAAAATGTTCTTTTAGGTAATAAAAATGTGACATGTCATGGATTCTAAAGAATGAAAAAATAATTCAGTATACTTTGTACCAATCTTCTTTGATGATTCAGAAGGTCCTTCGGAATCTCATTTTATGTCAAGGTTGTCTCCACGTGATAACCATCAGTTAAAAACATACTTGGGAAATGTTTAAGGAAACAAAAAGAGTATGCTTGGATTATATTTAGGTTTACTGAAATTGTATTTTTGAGTCATTTGAGCAAAGCATAGGGAGCATTAACTCACAGAGTAGCTGAGGCTACTTTCATCCTCAAGTTCCAAAACTATAGAAGAAACCTAGTGTAAACCTTCTTCTTATAATGAAATCATTCTAGTATTTTGGCATCTTTATGCTTTCAGTGGTAATTATATACATTTATTTCATAATATCTTTAGTAAATTTTTATCACTGTACTTGTAGATTCTCCCAAAACTTCTTGTTCATGTATTCCTTGAGGATAGAGACTTGTTCTTCTCTCAGTCTTTGCTTTGACCTGACAGGAATGGCAAATCTTCAACATCCAACATGTTTTGCTAATGTTGGAGACATAAATCACAATATTTCAATTAATTTGAGTGCTTTTGAAACAGTTAAGATAATGTTGCTTATTTATAGAGTTTAATTTTTAGTATTAAATCTAAATGAGGACATGGCAGATATGTAGTTATGACACTTGTTTATTTTCAGTTTTATGTAGATGAGTGTCTATCTGAGATTTCATTGTGTTTTTTTTATTTTTTCTTGTTAATCTGGTTCATTATAATAGCATGGAATAGCATTTCATTTTTAAGGATGCTTATGACCTTGTTAAATAGCAGTCCAAAAATCATGTGGCTTGTTTTGATTTTAACCAAAGTTACAGCTGCCTAGCTGTAAAGCAGTCAGTTTCTCTTATTATGACTAGTTCTTCAACTTGTACTGTTTTAAATTGCCTGCAATTAGCATATTTCAACCTTATTTTTAGGTTTAAATTGCAGTGTGAGAGTGTACTCTCCTCTTAGCTAATTAGTGCTATCAAGGAACAGTAGGTTACCTCATTAGTACCATGTGCATTTAATTAAAGAAGAGAAAATTGGAGTTAACCTCATAGTTAATATTTTCACAGAGTGCTACAATGCCAACACCTTCAATTGGAGTCACACCCCTGTGTATCTAATTATGCACTAGTGCCAAATAAGGTTAGCAAGGGTACTATAAGGCTGTTGACAAAATAATTTAGATGAAAACGTGTTTGTTGGATTCTGACAGTAAAATATAACTTGAACATTTTTCCCCAGTCCTCATCTGCCAGCTTCAGGTGACATACTTCCTCTTAAGAAACAGGAGGAAACGGGTATTTTGGAAGCCATTTTTCCCGTTTGAATTAATGTTGCTCTTTTCTTGAAGAAAATGGCATACAGTCATGTAACGCATATACAATCCATTTCTTAAACAGAGTCCCTGAACTTCAGAGGTGTATTTGAAAAGAATTATTTATAAGATGTAATATTTACATGCATCAAACCACTACAAATACTCCCTGACACCCTTACCACATCCCTCCTTGCTTTTCTTCTTTCCTGGTGTAGTTATAATTTCCCTTGTGTATTTTATGAATGGGGATCATCCTTTCATATCATACATGAAGTCTAAGGATGTGTTGTCACATGGTCTATTCAAATGCAGTGTAATCCTTTTGCCCTTCAGACAAAATCTTTGAAATGTCTAATGCTACTTAGGTAAAAAATGACATTCCATGTCATTTATCAATAAATAATCACTTTGCTTTTAGATAAAAATGCAAACTATACATTTGAGTACATAGAGTAGTTTTCAATGCAAATGCAAATTCAACAGGTTTTAACAGGTATTATGGAGCTGGGCTCCATAGTCAGATATATTTTAATGGCAATAAACATGGTTTAGTAATGCATAGACAAACACTTTATTTAAAGAGATCATTGTGATTTTTCTCAAGATGAGACTTATGATCATTTTTATTGGTTATAATTGACTATAAGTCAGAGGTTGTCTTTTCAAACTTAAAGATAATTAAGTTTTAAAGACAAATAATATTCCATACTGTAAAAACACAGAGCCTTTAAGTCTATAGGAATACTTAGGAGCATTTCCCATAATTTTAGCTTCGAAGGGGGGAGTGGTTCCTTAGGTAGGATATTGGTAAATAATCAGTGAATTTTTTTTAATTTGTTAATTCATTTCTGATTCACATACTTAAATTCATATCTGCCATATTATTTCTAGTTTTAAGATGTATACTCACATTAACTGTGAGACAAAGATGAAATAAACTTGTCTACCTTGTCCTACCAGAATAACAATCCCCCAAAATATTTTTTTTAATGTACATTGTTGGCATAAGCCTTAACATTGGGGAAAAAAAAAAAAAAGACAACTCCTGATTCTCTTTGTTTAATCTAGGAATTGCTTCCAGAAACAAAATTATGTGTCTGTGGCCACTCTTCTGGTGATGGGCAGCCTCACAACACATTTGCAGTAAGTTATACTGGGCAATGAGAAACTCAGCTACTAAGCACAAGGCTATAGACCCAATCCCAGTAAAAAGATACCAGCGATTTTCTAGAATCTGTGCCTTCCATTTGTGTAGATAATCAAGACATGACTAATGTTAAGATATAGATGTGATTAGTTTCCTGTTACTTCTTATGTTCTCACTTCAGTTATGTTTCATCAAATACACAGTTCCGTTTCCAAGTTGAATGCATTAAGCCTACATTAATTATTGGGTCATTGGGAAAGTCATGACATTTTTTTTCTACATTCTTCTATTTAAAAAACTGCCTCATAACTTTATGGACAACCCAATATACAGAGGCCATAGCACCACTGCACTTGTCCTGAACTTTTAGTAATAATTTGATGTGAGAATACCAATATACAGAAAATATGAATAGAGATTATGGATTGATCCAACACATATTGTAGGGTTTTTGAAAAGTTTTTTCATGTTCTGTAAGTTGCCATGTAAACATGCCAAGGTCATTTTTTCCCCATATTCTGCTACTAGAGTAAAACTTGTCTCTTTATACTATAACAGTCAATGAAAATTGCTTTTGTGACCCAATTTACAAACCAGCTAGCCTTGGAAATGAATAGTAATCTTGAAGTATCCATTCAAGAATTTTTAAATCGAGCAACTGAACATTTCTATTTACCATGGATCCTACCTATATTCTTAGGAAACTTCTAAATATGTAAAGTCACATATTATCATATACATAATTTTTGCTTGTTTCTTCAGAATTGATATACTTATTTAGTCTGGGAGGTCTAAAGTATTCCTAAATTGACTCATCAAAATTTTTTTGTTTTGTTAACCTATATTTAATATTTTCTAATTATAATTGGTAGACCATAACAAAATTAAGACTGTTGTGAAAAATATTCACTGTCTTTGTGAATTAGAAAGGAATACCTAATTTCATATTTTGGTTTGAAAAGAAAAATAATATTTTTCAATTATATAGTGTCAAGTTACTTTTGGAATAGTTTTGGTTACTATTATTAGGAGAAAATATTTAATATTATTAAAGGTTAGAGGCAATGCCAAACTAAGTTTAGCTGTGCTGGTTAAGGAGCTGGATTCCCACATGGTCAACTATAGTCCTAATCCTGGACCTGCTGGCCAGGCATGTGTGCATGCATGCCCAAAATCCCAGGAGGAGAAAGGAAGAGAAGGGATTATGGGGTGACTATACACCCTGGGCGGGAGGAGTGATTTCCCACTTTCTCTCACTGTCTCTCTGTTTCTGATAAACACACATACCCTTTTGCAAAAATCTTTTTAGAAAGGATAAAATAAGCTTAGAATTAGAAACAATAATACTGTGTGGAATTTTCTGGAAATAGTCAATGGAGAGGATTTGTAATAAATTTTGTACATACAGATTTCATGATGATAGCAAATTATTTGATTTGGGATCTCATTTTCATTTTAATCCAAGAGTGTCTAGCCCTCTTAAGATTACTTTATAATAAAATTTGAAAAAAAAAAAAAAAAGCAAAAATAAAAAGTAGTAGTAAATTTTGCTGAAGTAATGTAATTAAATTTATATGGGGACCAGCTGGACTCCATGTAGTCGACTGTGGTTCGAGTCCCAGACACGGAGGCTTAAACTCACGCCGGGTGCGTGGCATGCATGCGTGCCCCCAAGATCCCGAGAGGAGAAGGGATTGCAGCACGGCCATCCCCCCAGGGGGTAATTTCTCACTTTCTGTCTCTCTAAGCCTTTCTAGTGAGCACCGATGCCCTATAGCAAAAACCTCTCAAAAAAAACAAATTATATGAAAGATGGGCCAGCAAGTGGTGTGGTGGTTAAGGGCGCTGGACTCTCACATGGCTCACCGTGGTTTGAGTCACGGACCGGGCAACTTGTTTCTCTCTCTCTCTCTCTCTGACTCTGATCCTCTCTGGTCAAATTAAATAAATAAATAAAGTTAAATAAAAATTATTATTTAAAAAATTTATATGAAAGCTAGAATCTTAATTTCAAAGTATTCTCTGTATAGCTAAAAGAATGATAAATTTCAGGTGAATTTCAAACAGTTGTATGGTTTAACTTAATAAGAAGACTTATTCAAAAATATACTTTAAAAAAGTGCATTAAAAATGGAACTTTGTTCCTAATTGCTCACACTTTTCAGTAAAGAATCCTATGGAAGAACTGTTTCCATTAGACTGAAGAGTCAGCTGGCTTAATTACTAATAGTACTTGTTCTTAATCAAAAACTACCTCAAGGGAGACCAGCAGTTAGTGTAATGGCTATGTTGCTGGACTCCCACGTAGTTGATCGCGGTTCAAGTCCTGGACCCAGTGGCTTAAACTCACACCGGGCGGCGTGCGTGCCAAGAGGAGAATGGAGGAGAAGGGATTGCGGTGTGGCCATCCCTCCTGGGGGGGGTGATTTCTCGCTTTCTGTCTCTCTGTCTCTCTCTGTCTGTCTGGCAAGCGCACGCGCCCTATAGCAAAAACCTCTCTCAAAAAAAAAAGGAAAAAATTAAAACTACCTCAAGGGACCAGCAGTTAGTGTAATGGCTATGTCACTGAACTCCCATGTAGTTGACTGCGGTTCAAGTCTCAGACCTAGTGGCTTAAACTCACCGCTGGGCATGTGTGTGTGTGTGCCCAAGATCCTGAGAGGAGAAAGAAAGAGAAGGGATTGTTGTGTGGTCATCCCCCCTGGGGGGTGATTTCTCGCTTTCTGTCTCTGTCTCTCTGGCGAGCACACGCACCCTATAGCAAAAACCTCTATAAAACAAAACAAAACAAAACAAACCCTCAAAAGGTGATTTATTCTATTATCAGGAAAAATATCTAAGGCATCGGATCATTATATTTTCTTTTTTTAAAAAAAGTAATTCATTCTTTTTAATGTCATCAGAGATGGACAGAGAGGGAGCGAGAGAGAGAGAAAGCAAGCCCCAGGTCTGGGACTCTAACTGCAGTCGGCCATGTGGTAGCCCAGTGCCCTTCACCATGCCACCTGCCAGCCCCCAAATCATTGTATTTTCACTAGCATATTTTTAGAATGAAAATGAAACAGAAATTAAGTGATTCTACAGAGACCATGTAATTCCTCAATGGCAAGGCTGAATTTATAGCCCAAGTCTGTGATCACCAAGATATTGGTCTTTCCAAAGGTACACCAGATTTTACATGGCTGCCTTAGTGATGTGTTTAAGAGGAGTCTGAAATTGTACCTTGTGTCTAAGACTGCATCTAATCTTTCAGATAGAAAATGTACTAGGATGTGTTAGTGATGTCTGCTATGATTGATGGGGAAAGAAGAGCTTGACAGTGCCAGTACCAAGTGTTTGCCATCCCTGCAGTGTGCCAAACTTATATATCGCATTAGCTACTGATTAACTTTACAGGCCATGCTACTTGGCTTAATAATACAAAGAAAACAATATGCAAATAATACTAAGTAGGTGATTATTTCCTTTACTGATTACATTAGATATAAACTTTGCAAACTGAAATGGCTACATAATGTGATAAAAAAAATCAAAACACAAACTAAAACAAATACTATCTATTATTTGTAGTTGACAATTTTTATATTATGAGTAAGGCTTTCTTAGCATGCATTAAATTTTAAAAGTACCAGTATGGTACTTAGCAGAGTACTAAGTCTGCAGCATCATAAAATTACTAGAAGAAAGGCATAAAAAGGATGGATAGGGGAAGCTAAAGCCAATCACATTCTTTTATCATCTGTATAACTGATATTTGTAATAAACCATGAATCATTGTGATTGTTTTCATATTTCCAAGATACCCTGCATCATTACTTATTGAATAATGTAATATCACACATAGTAGTTCCATGGTTGGGCAATTTTTATAAATAAAATAATAATAATAATTTCAGTCGTGTATTCCAAATCAGCAGATTAAATTAATATATCTCTCCCCACCCCCACTTCCCTTAAAAACTAAAAATTCAGGGGCCAGCAGATGTCATGGTGATTGAGGTGCTGGACCCTCACATGACCAACTGAGGTTTGCATTATAGACTTGAGGGCTTGCTTTCTCACTTTTCCTGTCTTAATCTCTGTGATGAGCACATGTGCCCTGTAGCAAAATTTTTAAAATAATAATAATGATAAAATTAAATAAATAATTCTTTTTAAAGAAACCTAAAGATTCTTCAAATATATTAACAAGCCTCAAGTTAAGTAACATAATTAAGATGTAAATTGAAGTCATGTACAATAACAAATATAGGTTAACGCCCAAATTATCTTTAAAAAATAAATAATTTGGGCCAGACTGTTGGACAATGGTAAAACACCTCTGTGAGGCCGACCCACAGGGATGATTCTGAGCACATGTCTGAGACCTCCCTAACTATGCTGTACATATGTGTGCCTGTGATCTCAGGGTAGCTGAAGCTGGGGGCGGATCACGGTGTTGAGACCCTGTCAGGGGTACTGTTTTTTTTCTCTCTCTGTCTCTCTCACTCATAGAGTAAATAAAAATGAATGTTAAAAATGTCAAACGTAAGTAATATTTCATATTTAATATTAAACAGATGCCAAAAGCTCTTTGCATACTATCCACTTTCAGGTATTAATTGTATCAAGTTACTGAAAAAAAATACAGTTAATGTATTTCAGAGAGGTATTTTCTGATGTTTGGTTTTGGTTTATTGATAACCATTAACATTAGTCATTCTGTGCATTGTACCTCTCTATTACCATATTGGTGAGTGGGAGTGATTTTTTTAAATTTTGTTTATTACTAGTATGTTTTAATTTGATGAGAGGGAGAGAAAGTGAGAAGCAAGCCACCAGGTCTGGGACTCAAACCACAGTGGGCCATATGGAAGTCCAGCATTTTAACTAGCACATCTGCCACCCTGGTAGTGATATTTTATGTACCCATTTATAAATTGCATTTATTGTATCTCTATCAAGTCATTGCAAACCGGGAAGTAATTGTAACCATTTATATCATCTATTCAAAATT